AATGTCTATTTGAATATTTTGTAATAAAACAATCTTTCTCTTATAGATATCCCTTTAAGGATGAGCCTGCCACCACCATTCAGAAATTATACATATGGTAACCAATTTTTCTTTTTCAAAATGTGTATTATATAATTTTTCATTAGTTTTTGTTGATGTGAATTTAAATTTGGCTTTCAAAAATGAATTTACTATCTGTAAATAAAAATAGGATTCCTAGTATATTGTTAAAGTCAATTATAATAGTGCAGAGAAGTGGCATATTTGTGAGGAATAGCATATTTGGCAAAACGGTATCTAAGACGTAATCAGCAAAGGAAAAATTATTGAAGACTAAGAATTAAAAGAAGAGATTCAACATTTTAAGTGCCAATAACTTGAGCGTATTATGTAGTAGTTTTGTATGTTGCCATTGGTGATTTTAAAATGTAGCAATAAGGCAAGAAGCTCGATGTCATTATTCAGTATAAAGATGGTACAGTTATTAACCTTCAGTGTAGTGACTGACACTCACCAAACTGAATCTGAGACTTCACTTGAAAGTTATGATGCACCTAATAAATATTTCTATTAGTTGGTGCAGACATTTTAAAGTATAAATTTTTTATTACCTTAGATCACTTTTCGGAGTGGCTTTTCATTCTGTTCCCATTTGATAGAGCAACTTACGACCTAAAATCCTTTGAAATCACAGTCTTCATCGTGCGTATGCATTTTAATATCCAGAGACTAATTGTAAGGTCATAAAGGGTAGTCAAGCAGAAGTTGAAGGCACTGAGTGGAAAGTACTTTGATTTATTGGACTTAAAGAATTTACATACTCAATATTGAATAAGAGAAAGGAATAAACAGCATGATTAAGGTAAATATGAAACTTCTCGATTGTGGCTTTCATGGCTTTCAAAGTATAATGCCTTGAAATATAACCTTAAACTTGAATCAACATACAGATGCCATTTCAAATTAGAATAGTTACATATGATTTCCCTTTTTGCATGGGATGTGCCTGTGTGCATGTGTATATGTCTATATGCAAACATGTTCCATGTAAGTTATTTGAAAGATAAATTTTAAATAATGAAAGCATCAGAATATCCGGGTTGCTAAGCACATTGTAGTAGATAATGTACCTTTTAGACTATTCCATCTTATTAGCACCCTTTTGTCCTAGTATTTCTATACTATTCAGATGAATTGGCAGAAAAAGTGAATACATTAGTTTGTGAAGAAATTATAGAATGACTAGAGTTTTGATAGACTTCAAATGGCTTTGTCTGAGTTTGGCTCTTTAACCATCTGCTGCTTTGTGTTGAACAAGAAAGACTGAAGTGTTACTTTTTCACCTGTCATTGTCATCCAGTAGTTCTACATCATGGTCTGCGGGAATAGAACATTGCATTGGATGTTGGGGAGTGGGAAGAGTGCAGAGTCAGGTTTCAGTTTTGCTCTTTACTGTCTCTCTGTCCTTGGGCAAAGGGCTGGCTTTCTCTGCCAGGAGAGTCTGAGATTTCTTAGAGCCCCTCCTCCCATTTGGTTGGCATCTATATCTATTGTTGATTTACCACTCATCCTACTTATTTTTTAAATCTTTATTGCCTAGACATTGTGCATTGGGGCACACATAAATGGTGGTGGTGGTACAGTGTGGGACTGCTAAACCCTGTCTTTCATAAGGCTGTGTGAGATTAGATTAAATAATGCATGTGCCAACACGTTAAATATTTCACACACAAACACAAATATATATATATATAATTTATTTATTTTTAAGAGGTTGCTTTCCTCAAGGAATTTGCATTAAGGGGACAATACTCATAGATGTTGTTTTGGTAATAATGAGGATTATTTTAAAGAAGTAAAAACAAATGAAGTAGATTATTCAACAGAGAAAGGGACATTAACGCATCTTTTGCTAGCTTGTCATTTCTCCTTTCCTACCTTCTCAGGTCTCACCAATTTCTGTGAAAGAGAGAAATCTGGTGAAAATTTCTGTTCAGAGCATTTCTTTTTCTGCTAAAAAATGTAGCCTTTTTATTGTGGGCTTCCTGAACCTATTAGAG